AAAGGTCCAACGACGACATCGCATCGCTTCCATGCTAGTCCTCCCCACAAAGCTTCAAGCCTTCAACTGCATCATCATCAATGAAATAAAAAGAAAATAAATAAATAAATGTTCATGCTACATGCCGGCAAATGCGGCGCGCATGGCCGTTCAATCGCACCAATCTCCCTGGCCGGCTGATCTCGTCGACACACCATCAGCGGACGGTCGACTCGCGTATTCATCATACGAAAAAATAACAAAAATTAATATATATTAAATAAATAATGCAAACTACAAACGCAACCACGGGACTTCAATCAACACACGAACGAACGGTCTACATTGTCGAACGACCACGGATGGCGGCAGCGATCTCCATAAGCGCGTGGCGCCTCATTTTCTGCGTTTCATCGGATGCCGCGTAATGCACTTTTTGAACCACAACTTCCTGCTTGAGTATGTCGCATTGCCGCTTGCGAGACGAATCAACCGTCGACGACATCAGTTTGCCATGGCGGTCCATGACATCAGCGATCGACTCCAACGCCTGTTGACGCGCATTCTTCCGCTTCCGGCCACCAGCCCGACTGCCTGCGTTATGAGCTGAGTCCCTGGCCGAAGAACGGGGCAGCCATCACCGCCGGCATCACGACCGACAGACTCCCCACTCACTGGTCCTCGCCTCGACAGCTTCACCCCGCCCGGACTACCAGTGTCGGCGACGTTGCGAGGGAAAATGGTGTGGTTCCCTAGCATGCTTCCATGGATCTCGTCGTACAACACCCTCTCTATCTAGAACTTGAGGTTGTTCACCTTCCTTTCTTCATTTGACAACCTAAAGAAATCTGCCTCGCCGCTGGTCATATGAAACCTCTGTATCTTCTTGTAGTTTTGGAACAGATTGTCCCACTTCTTCATGTAGTCGGCATCGTTAGCCCTCCCTAACTTCACCATCCGCTTCGCAATGTCGTCCCACTTCCACTCCTTCGTTCACATCCGCCCGTAATTGTGACCCAACCCGACGAGGTGCATGTCTTGCTCCAGCTTGCATCTACCGAGGAGCAGCTGGTCATCCGTAGACCAATGCGTCGCAGACTTCCCACCGCCGTCGTTTACGCCTCCTCTGCGGCCACGACCAACGGATCGACCCCGAACAACACCTCTGTTGCGTCCTTTCCCCCTCCCAACCGTCTTCCCCAAAGGCCGAATATGAATGTCATCGTCGTCGTCCCCTGCCTCCACGTCCTCCCTAAATCCTTCGTCAGCATCGTCGTCGCCGCCATCGCTCTGTGCCCGCATGTTGGACACTCCTCGTGTGGTGTTCTCCACAGTAGGTCGTGGACGCACCGGTGGTCTACAAGCGGGGTCGTCTCTCAAGTCGGGCTGGGTTGGCCTTGTGGGGTTGGACATCGGTGAGCGTCCGTCGCCGATGTGCAGGGACCCTGCTGCAACTCCAATGCGTGCGGGGCAGCTGTTTGTAATATGTTCGTTGGACGACGCAGTCAATCCATGCTGCCGGCCTGATGGCGACGCCCCGACACCTGCACTCACGAATGCACCGGCACGAAGTGTCGACTGCTCGGTACGCTGACTTCCAGGACGTTCAAGGCCACATGGCAAAGGATCGGTGTCGATGATGAACGTACAGGTCGCCTCCCTCGCACTGTCAGAAGACAACCCGAACCTTAGATCGACTTGTCCGCCGTCGTCGTCCCCCAAGCCTTGCTGCAGGAGGGAGGTGAACTGGCCGCCTTTGTTGCTAGCCGATCCGCGAGCTTGCACCGTCTGCGACAACATCTGGGTCGATCTGCTACCTAGAGGCAACGTTGCAAGTTTCTCCGTCTCCCGGTCCTCGTCCGACGGGGGCAGTGGCGTCTTCCACGACTGTAGATGGTTGTACAACAACGGGTCGTACCGGTGTCGAGGCACCGCCGTGACGCCGTCGCAGGTCCTCTTCCGCCCTGACTTGCCGCCTGTTCTGTGCGCGCCTGCATGCTTGCCATCGGACGTTCTATGGGCGGCCGTTTCGTTGACGCCCTCCGCTTGCGGGGTTGCTTCCACGGCCGGCATGACAAACACAGGTGGAGGAAGATGACAAACAGGAAAACGACGATAGAGTGTACCAGCAGAGGAAATCTCCACTGCACGTCTGCCATCAATTTCACCTTCGGATGCACCCTTCCACGCGACTACTGCAGAAATATCCTCCGGCATGTCGACAGATACGACGCCAGGACCTTCATATGCCGACAAGCATTAGAGAACACGACGAAGGTGGACACCTTCGATTCGAAAATCGACCGTTGGGGCCCACGCACTGCCCGCAGCGCCTCGGCATGTCATCTAGCGCACGTCGTTGTCATCCTCTGTTTCACGCAACCAAGCTAACGGTCGACTACGGACACTCGCTCGCCCCCGATCGCCCCCCCGCGGTCCACCCCACCCGCCAACGGCTACCGATTGTGGCCGTTGCCCCTGTCGGCCCGTGGAATACCTCCGATGTCCGACCACTGCCCCGATAGACCGGTTCTGCACCAGCGACTCTGAGACGACGGTGCCATGCGCGCGACCACCGACTCACGAATAGCCTGCTCACGGTACCAGGCAGCACACTTCTCAGATAGCCCGACCTTAACGTTCAGCACAGGCTCGCACAGGCGGACTGTAGGATGCTCACTCAGCTAGCCAGATGCCCCCGCTAGCCTTTCTCTTGTCTTCTTTTATAGGTACCTTCCATACCACGATCCCCCGTGCTCTAAATGGGGAGTTCAAATGAATTCGAGAGCTCAGTATTTTAGTCATCAGTGATTTCAAAAATGAAAAGAAATAGAGTAATATGAAACGGAAACAAAATAGAGCAATGGTCATAACACGACCCTCTGCTTTCCTTAGATCTTTAGTCCTGTCGTAACGTGGCTGCTAACCGGCGTGGTGGTCCCATAACATGATGCCAGCGGTCACTTCCTCCTCTTGAAAACTCACCTTCGGACTACTCCTGATGGGTACCCGTGTCCGATGGCAAGGAGGGGGCTTATGACCTTCCACGGGGGGGTGATAGCGGCCGCGGGTCGCCCCTCTTTTTGGGGTTCCGCTGCGCGATGCTCAGCCGGACAATTCATCCACAGACGATATACGAGGGGTCGGCCAGCTTAGGCTGTAGACCAAAGTTTGAGCTCAGATTTCGAACCATTGGGCTTCCTGCGAAATGACAGGCCAAAAGGAAAATTGAGAAAAATTAATAATGATAATAATAATAATAATAATAATAACAATAAAATGAAACAATGAAAGAAAAGAAATCATAACGCCGCCGCGGTCAATCATCCCAGACTAAAGCAAGGGTCCACATGTGCGTGCGGATCTGACACTTGACTTCCTTTTTCTCTTCTTATCCCCCCTTTTCCTTTTCTTTCTTTTTCTTTTACCCCTTTTTCTGTTCGACTGTAACAGCGAGCCTACACACCTAACCCATAACCTGATGAGGAATCGATCGGCGCGCAGTAGAAAAGACTGAGCCGGCCTATTTACTTCCGCGTCGCTGGGCGAGCCCGACGATTACCATGGCCACAAGCCGGTAGCGCTCTGCTTTATAGCAGGGCGCTGAGCCTGCATGGACCAATGGAAAGTCCAGTGGCGCACCCCCAACCTCTTGCTAAGGTGCGCACCAACTGGACCGGTCCATAACAGGGCATAACCCAGGTGTACCAAAAGAGCCACAGAGGTTCGGAACGGCCCGACGAGCCATCGGCGTCTGAGCAGGGCGCTGTTACCGAGCAGGAGCCTGGCACACAGAGGAGGGTCGGGACACCGCGCCCTCCGACAACGGGCGCACAGCCCCCGCGCACATCCTCGTGCACGGGCGCACGTGCGCGCAGCCTCGCGCAGCCCCCTCGCAGACCAGGGCGCACGGGCGCACGGTGTCGGAGGGCGCGGTATCCCGACCCTCCTCTACGTACCAAATTCCTGCCTGGTACCAACCTCTTGCTCCGACGTCGCAGCCTGTAGACATGTTTCCTAATCTCTACGATCCCTAGTACCCAGGCTGTACCTTGACGTGGGCCGGTCCTGTTGGTGACTGCGTCAGCAAAAGGGTGCACCACAGGACTTTCCATTGGTCCACGCAGGCTCGGTGCCCTACTGTACAGCAGAGCACTACCGGCCTGTGGCCATGGTAGCCGCCGGGTCGCCCTGGGACGCGGAAGTAGAGGGTCTGGCGTAGGCTTTTCTACTGCGCGCCAACTGCCCCTTGGCTAGGTTATGGGTCAAGTGCTTGGAGCATTGGTCGCTGTCAGAGAAAAAGAAGAGGCTAAGCAAAGAAAACAAGAAAGAAAAATGAAAAGTAAAAAAAGAAAAAAAAAAGAAAAAAAAAGGAAAATGAAAAGAAAGCTAGAGGTCTAATCAGCGCGGCTGAACCTTTAGCCTTAATTCGGGGAAATCTGACGGCCTCTAGTCCCACTGACGTTACGCTTTTGTTCTTTTCCTTATTATTATTATTATTATTATTATTATTATTAATATTATTATCATTGATATTATTACATGATTTTCCTTTTCATATGAGTGTTAGACTCGGTTTTCTTTTCGGCCTGTCATATCGCGGGAAGGCCAACGGTTCGGATTCCGAGCTGACCCACTCTGCATATTGTCTGTGGATGGACTGTCCGGTTGAATGCTGCGCGGTGGGGCCCCAAAAGAGGGGCAACCCGCGGCCGCTTCGGTAGGAGGCTTATCACCCCCCGTGGAAGGTCATAAGCCCCCTCCTTACCATCGGAGACGTGCACCCGATAGTGGTAGGCAGCCTACCGGTTATGAAGAGGAAAAGGCGACTGTCGATATCCCGTTATGGGACCACTGCTTCGACCGACAGTCTCATCGCAAGGGTCTGAGAATGACATCAACTCATAACCTAGCAGGTGCTGTGATCGTTGGACTCTGGCGTAGCGTGCCTCATGGATTATTTTGATTCTATTTTGTCTGGTTAACTTGAAAAGTTCCTCGTTTAGAGCGCGGGGATTTCGGCAAGCAGTGATCCTATAAAACGAAGGGGAGGTGGACTCACGGGGGATCGTTGTTTGCGAACGCAAGGTGCGCTCATAACTATCTGAGGGCGGCGACGCTGCTCGCAGTCGGCAGTCCTTGTTATCTCCAGTTTGTGTTGAAGGCTCTAGGTGGTGAGCCATTCCGCGCTAGCTGCTTAGCGCAGTACCACACCTATTGATAGAATGGCTATGGTGCGTAATGACGGCTTGCACGGCTATAGGCCGGATTGTTGGAGGTGTACCACGCGCTGGTCCCCTATGTCTGGAGAGGGCCCCTGGATCACTATAGTCCTTAGCTACGACGGGGGAGATGAGCTAAGACTGAAGGTAAATGTGGAAGGATCGAGGGAGGAGGAAATGAGGGGAGATCGGAGACTTCAGTTGGCCATCACAGAGGCCAAGAACCGGGCGATGCGAAGGATGAGGCGCGACGGGGTCACGGCTGAGGCCCAGGTGACCGTCGCGTACCATGAGGAGGAGACCTCTATAGACACGGTGGATCGAGAGCAAGCGCATCTGGACCGTGACTCGGAAGCTGAGAGCGAGGCCAGTGACCGGGAGATCTGTCTCCAGTCTTGGAACAGGCCGGACCAGGTTCGTAGGAACCACCCGCTGGCTCGAGACGTGGAGGGCGGACCCGAGGCCAGCTCGCGACAACCGACGCCCAGAGGCCGCGAGACGAGTGAGAAGAAGAGCAGGGGAAAACAACACGTGTAGGGGGGGGAAGGCGCCAAGGTCAACGACGGAAAGAGATGCGAGAGTTGAACGTGTGTGAGGGCGGTTAGTGAAGGGGGAGACGGGGATGAGTGGAACGTGACAAGCTTGCGGAGTGTGGCTGACGTCAACTACTGTTCGTACGCTCGCACGACCCCCTTGCTCCTACTGCAGTGACGGAAAAAACAAGAGGGAGAGATCCTGCTAGGGGGGCATGAGTAGTGGCCATAGTGGAGGTCGCCACTAGAACTTCTTGATGTGCGCCAACCACGACCCCTCCACCGTCTTGGACGTAGACCGTCCGCCCTTCTCTTGTGGGTGGACTGCAATCGCAGGCTGCCCCACCCCTTTTGGAAGGAGGGTTGATTCGGTTGTTGGTTAGTGTGTTTGGTGGAACCAGCAGCTCAGTGGGCTCAATTTATCGACTCTTTAGCCTATTGTTTTCCACATGTGGATGGAGCGATGCTTGTGTACTCATCGAGTGGCCTAGCCTGCTGGGCTAACCCCAACTGTGGAGTGCCAACTAAGCACACGCCTATTGATTTTCAGGTACTAAACGTATGGGGGTGTAAAGACCGATAGTGCAGAATGTGCAAGTGGATATAAACTCGAGTGAAAACTGTTGGATTGTGTGGATAAATGAGCTGGCCGTTCTCCCTAATTTTTCGATTTCCTACTTTGATGGGCAAACAAAAGTTAATGAGAACAGTGGCTTATCTTTTGGTCAAGTACCTCGTTGATGGGGACTGATCAAAGTCCGGGTTATGGATAAAGTTAGTGTTGTGTGTATCTCCTATTAGGCCTGTACTCGAAAGGTAATAATGAAATTGACAAGCTGCCAGAAGTCACTTTCGAATTCAGTCAGTTACTGATCGCTCAACAGTTCTTGTTGCCCTTTCAGAAGGGTATGCTCCTAGCCAACCTCGGGAGATTTTGAACCAGTGCGTTGTCTAAATCAAGGGATTGATGAGATCCGTGTGCGGGTACTTGCTTTGGACCTGCCCCGTGGTCATCAATCTGTATCCCATGCTTTATCCGCTTGAACCATTTCCAGTTTCGCATGCAGTCATATTGTGAAGCCCGGTAAGCGAGAAGTTTCCTATGTGTGGGTAAGGTCTGACAAATCACTTACACTCTGGGCCGCCTTCGTAGGTAACGAGAAAACTCAGTGCTTGGGTAAAAGAGATTTCAAAGCGACCAATCAGATAATATTCTTCATGCATTGGTGAAAAGAGTGTCGTGTGCCGCTGCTCGTAATCGGTTGAAGCTTATTGCCACTAACAAAAGTGTACCTCACTCTAATGAAATCTCCTTTTATAAGAATGTTGTGTACTGTTGTGTAAGAATCCCTCTCCTTTGCCTAGATGTCGGGTAAACTGTTCTAGAGGCTCTTGGTATAGACTGTGTCCACCTCAGATGTTACTTGTTTGCGGGGTGGACCGGCCACCAGCCAAATGCATAATGCCAAGAACTCTCATAACCTGACGGGCCGTTCTGCTAAGCACGCGAGCAAGACAGTCTTTAACTAGGACGGGCAGAAAAAGGGATAGGTTAGCCTTTAGTTAAAA